ACGAGCCCGAGGTCGACAAGAAGGCCGACAAGCCCAAGGCCAAGGCGCTCATGCAGGAGGAGGAGCGCGCAACGGGCTCAGTCTCGGGCGCCGTCTACCGCCACATCTTCACCCTCGCCAAGGGCTGGTACACCTTCCCGGTCCTCCTCGGCTCGATGGTGCTGCAGCAGGCGGCGCAGGTCCTCAGCGGCTACATCCTCGTGTGGTGGCAGGAAGAGTGTGTCCTTCTTGCGCTCCCTGCTCTCGCTCCCAAGCTCCGTAGTGACTGATACCCCCCTCCTCTCTCACAGCACGTTCGACCAGACGATGGGCTTCTGTGCGTCTCGCTCTCTCTGCCTTGTTCGCTCTCGAGCAGTCACTGACGAGGACACTCCTCTCGCAGACGAGGGCCTCTACGCCATGTTCGGCGTCCTGCAGGCCATTTTCTCGTTCGCCATCGGCGTCGCGACGACTCTCATCGGCTACAACATCTCGCGCGAGCTCCACTCGGCCGCCATCACAGGCGTTATGCGCGCGCCGATGAGCTTCTTTGACACGACCCCGCTCGGCCGCATCATGAACCGCTTCTCAAAGGACATCGACACGATCGACAACACGCTCAACGACTCATTTCGGATGTTCGTGTCGACCCTTGCTGGCGTCTTGGGCTCGGTCGTCCTCATCGCCATCGTCCAACCTTGTCCGTCCACCTTCCCCCCCTCGCGTCATGTCCTTTCTCAGTCGCCGAACTGACCCCGTTTCTCGTGCGCAGGGTTCCTTCTCGTCGTCGCCGGCGTCCTCTGCCTCTACGCGTTCGCCGCCCGCTTCTACCGCCAGAGGTGCGTGCGCTCCCTCCTTGCCCGCGTCCATCTCGTCCCGCCTCTGACCGTCTTGCCGCCTCGCAGCGCTCGCGAGCTCAAGCGCCTGGACAACCTCCTCCGCTCGTCCCTCTACGCCAGCTTCAGCGAGAGCCTGTCGGGCCTGACGACCATCCGCGCCTACGGCGAAACGGACCGCTTCCTCGCGCAAACCGCTGCATACCTTGACCTTGAAGACAGGGCTTACTACCTCACAGTGCGCTCACCTCTTGCACCAGTCGTGCAGACCATTGCTAAGCGGCCGATCTATCTCCGCAGGTGGTCAACCAGCGCTGGCTTGGACTGCGCCTCGATTTCTTCGGCTCGTGCCTCACCTTCGCTGTCGCCATGTTCGGCGTCGGGACCCGCACGTCGGTATCGCCGTCGCAGACGGGTCTCGTCCTGTCGTACATCCTCACGATCTCGTCAGCCTTCTCGTGGATGGTGAGGCAGGGCGCGGAGGTTGAGAACGACCTTAACTCGTGCGTCTTCCTCGTCCAGTCTCTCGAGGTCGCTCTCCGTGCTGACATCCTTACACCTCTGGGTCATACAGGGTCGAGCGTGTGCTGCACTACGCCAACGAGCTCGACAAGGAGGCGCCAGCCGTCATCGAGGATGCTCGCCCACCCGCAGAGTGGCCGTCCGGCGGCGCCATCGAGTTCAAGAACGTCGAGATGCGCTACCGCCCGGACCTTCCTCCTGTCCTCAAGGGTCTGAGCATGAGCGTCGGTCGCGGCGAGAAGATCGGCGTCGTTGGACGAACCGGCGCAGGTGCGTCGCTCCTCCTCTCGCTTTCGGGCCGTCGGTGCAAAACCTGACGCTCGCACCTCGTGCAGGCAAGTCTTCCATCATGCAGACGCTCTTCCGCATCGTCGAGGTCTCGGCCGGCTCGATCGAGGTCGACGGCATCGACATCTCGACGATTGGCCTTTCCGACCTGCGCAAGAAGATTGCCATCATCCCGCAAGACGCGCTCCTCTTCAATGGCACCGTCCGGTGCGTTCTCTCTCTCTCTCTGCGTCGGCTGACCCTGGTCGAACTCGCTGAGCTGACCTCGTCGCCCTTCCTCCCTCCCCTCTTGCGCCTTCTCTTGCGGCTCCGGATTCACAGCACCAACCTCGACCCCTTTGGCGAGCACGGCGACGCCGAGCTGTACGACGCGCTCAAGCGTGCGTGGCTCGTCGATCGCGACCAGCCGATGCCGGTCGCAGGCGCGCCGGCAGCTGCGACGCCGACCTCGAGCCGCTTTACCCTCGACCTCGTCATCGAGGACGAGGGTCAGAACCTGTCGGTCGGTGAGCGTAGCCTGGTCTCACTCGCTCGTGCGCTCGTCAAGGACTCGAAGATTATCGTCCTCGAGTGCGTCCAGTCCAGCTCTTCCTCTTCTCCTCGCGAGCAGAGCTTCAGCTGATCTTCTCGATCCGTCTTTGTCCTCGCAGCGAGGCCACCGCGTCCGTCGATTTTGCGACCGACTCGCGCATCCAGGCGACGATTAGGAGCGAGTTCAAGGAGAAGACCGTGCGTCCTTTCGTCCTCGTGCGCTCAAGCCCTCTCCCGCTCACCTCGGCTGACCCTCCTCTTTCCCCTCACCCCGCAGCTACTCGTGATCGCGCACCGTCTGCGCACGATCGTCGACAGCGACCGCGTGCTCGTCATGGACGCCGGCGCAGTCGCCGAGTTCGACACGCCGCTCAACCTTTTCCGCGCACGCGGCATCTTCGCGGGCATGTGCGAGCGCAGCGGCATCACCGAGGCCGACATCGTCGGCACGACCTTCTCGTCTGCGCCGGCTGGGGTAGAGCAGGAGCAGGAGTAAACGTACGCAGGAAGGAGAGCACCCGCTAGCACCATTTCCCCCTCTCGTCGTTGTAGGACTCGCTCTGCATCATGTATCTGGTTTCTGCTTTCTCAAGCGACGTCCGACCAGGTGCAGCAATGACACGAGTTCGAGAGCGCAGAGACGGCGAATGCGAGGAAAGGCCGACAGCGCGAGCCGAGAGGCGTTCGAGCCCGTGCGGAGGAGACGTGAACAGGAAGTGTTCTCTACTTCGTCTAAAAAGATCCGGTAGGTGCACTGAAAGCTCACAACGTTGCACTACCGGCGAAAGGGTATCAGGCTACAAGCGGGGGGAGACGAGAGCGTCTCCTCAAAAGGGTAAATCGGGTCGAGGCGGTCGAGGTCGGCTGCTTCACGCAGTCTTGTCGGCGACGTCCTTCTGGGCGGCGGCAGCGTAGCCCTTGGTGGTCTCGGACGCGTCCTGGGCAGCACCCTGTGCGCGGGGAGTTGAGGTCGTCAGCGAGTTGCTCTCGGCGGGCGAGGAGACGAAGGATAGGACGCACGCTCGCCGCATTCTTGGTCTCGTCGACCTTCTGGCCGAGAGTGGAAGCCGCCTGATCGGCCTGGCCCTTGAGGTCCGACTGCTCAACCTTCTTTTGCCCGGTGGCGATGAGGCTGCACGCGAGAAGCGGGAGAGGGAGGGCGCGGCGCGGGGGTCAGGTTTTGACACTCGGGCCACAGCGTAACGGAGAGACTCGGACGCACCCCTCGACCTGCTGCAGAGCACCGGCGGCAAGGTCGCGCGCCTGCGCGACGTAGCCCTTGGGCTGACCCGCCTCGGCGCTCTGCTGCGCATCGCCGGCGGCGTCCTGCGCCTTGGCGGCACCAGTCGCGAGAACGCTGTGGGCAGGGTCCGAGTCAGCTCATGCATGAACACATGGCGGACAAAGAGCTGGACGCACTCGGAGGCGGTGTGGAGAACGTTGGCAGCGAGGTCGCGAGCCTCGCCGACGAGCTCGCCGAGCGTGTGCTGCGAGTTGGCGCCGTGGGCGTTGTTGGCGGCGTCCTCGCCCGACTTAGCGCCGGCGTCCTGGCCCACACCGACAAGGCCCTTGGCGTAATCGAGCGTGGAGCTCATGAGGTGCGTGGCTTGGTGCGTGAGGGTTTCGTCGCCCACGACACCACCGGTGGCGTTGCCGACCTTGTTGCTGATGGACTCGTTGCTAGACATGGTGTGATTTGTGTGGGTAGGGAGGGTACGAAGAAGGTGGAGGGAGAGTGAGGAGGAGGAAAGAGGGGGGAGCGGCAGCGGGGGGGACGGCCATGCGCAATGTCGCCACCGTCATCCGATCACTTGATTTCTCGCGCCTTGCGCATGAAAGCGTCCCATTGCGTAGAGTCCCCCGCGATTTTCCGTGCTTGTCGTCATCGGTTCCCCAAAAAGAGCAGAGACGACGGAGCCCCGCGCAGACCAGACTGTGAGGTGCAGTGTTGGTCAAGCTGTATTGACCCTTTGTAACACACTGTGTAACAACCAAGTAACAATGTATGTAGAGAGCGTGGCCCAGTAACTTCGAGTAAGAAGAGCGACGGCCAAGGAGAGCTGGTAGGCGAGGCGAGTGAGCCTGAGGCGCCGGTGGCGGAGACCGTGCGAGCGAAGAAGCGGAAGAGGGTCGAGGTGCTCGAGCTGGGGAGTGACGACTCGGACTCCTCGTCGGAGTTCGAGTGACGCGGTCGATCATTTTGTATTTGAGCATAGAATGTTTGTAACCGGATTACTATCCGTTGTTACCAGTTGTTACTCGTGTAGCAAAGGCCCCCAAATTTGCTTGCTACCGCTTGCTACTGATTACTAGCAATCTGCCAACACTGGTCCTCACAGCCTGCAGCTGTGCACCCAAGCTGCCAGGCCTGCGGCAGGGCGGACCGGGCTCGCCTTTCCTTGTCACTCTCTGCAAGACAGGGGTGGGCGTTCCGGCCAGGCCTCCGAGCAACTCCGAGGCCACGCTGGCATGCCAAGGGCGGAGGTCTGTGCGGCGGCTGCTGCGCCCGGCGCAGGGGGCCGCTCGCGCTTGTTCGAGCTTGTTCTGCCTCGGGCCACCACGAGAGCGAGGCAGTGAGAGAAGGCACATGTCCCAGGTGTCCGCTCGACCCTCCTCGAGCTCGTCCAGAGGGTTTCGAGTGCCAATCGAGGGTGGTGGTCGAGGTGCGACGCTGTTTGCAAGCGACAAAACCCGTGCTGTCGTGCACCAGAACCGAGGCTGAGCGCAGAGGCTGAAGAGTTCGCAATTGCGCGGCGCCGCGCCTAGGCGTGTTCTGCAAACAGCGCGGTGTGGAAACTTTGGGGTCTTACTAGAACGCATTTTTTGGCTTGAGGACCCATCGGGAGCGTCTTGGAACAGTGGCAGTTCGTTGGGCTCATACTTGCTTTGCGACCCAAAAGTCCCTGGATCGAGACCAGGAGACGCTACTCCTTCATTTTTGCCCCGCCTCCAAAGAGGCTTAAATAGCCAGTCCGCAGAATGCCTGTTCGCGTGCCACCTTCGCTTGTCAATACCACACGTCAAAAGGCTCAGCTTGCAGTGCAAAGTTGGAAGGGATTAACTGCAGGGAAAGTGCTCATCCCATACAGTCCCACGTAGCTGACTTGTGCTGTCACGCCTCGGGCAACAGAGCGCACGGTGCTGAAGAGCAGGACAAGCTTCTCTTGCTCAGAGAAAAGGTGGTGCACCCTCTCAAGCTGCTCCAGCTGCCCAGACAACATTGTCACAACACAGCAAGCAAACCCCCTAGCACGTGCCCTCACTCATCCCCGCCTTCGCTCCCCGACTCCTTCTCCTCCGCCTCGTCGTCCTCCTCCTTGGGGCTCGCGTCCCCACTCTCACGCCTCCTGACCCACTCGTCATACTCCTTGAGGTTGCGCGCAGGCTCTCGCCGCCCCGTCGCAGGGTTGAGAGTCGCGAGGTTTGCGCGGCGGACTGTGCGCGCGTGCAGTTGGCCGAGGCATGCGTCAGCTCAGCGCAGACCCTCGAGGGGGGAGCGAAAGCGAGGAGAGTGCGCACGGAGCAGGTCAAAGGGAAAGACGCCCTCGTCGTCCGAGTCGTAATCCGGGTCGCGGTTCGACAGCATGTCGTTTTTGACGGTGAGCCATGTCCCTGCGCGTGTGTGCGACGCAAGACGAGCGGGCGAGTCAGCCGAGGAGACGGTGTCATTGCACAGCAGAGAGACAGGCGAGACGCACCCAGCAAGCCCGACTTTGTCGGCACGTCGTGCGACCAGTCGTCGTTCTCCCACCCAGGCGGGAGAATCTCTGCGTGCGCGCATCCGAAGCCTTTTCAGTCAAAACGTCTCGCACCGTCGCGGGAAGACGACCAGGGCCAACGCACCAGGGACGACACCAGCCATCTCGGCCCTGTGCTGCGAGCGCGCAAAGGACGACTTGGCCCTGGAGGACGAGGCCTTCGACCGCTTGGCCGGCTGGTCGCCTGCGTGGGCTCAGATCGTGTCAGCACGTCTCCATACCACCCCAGTGCATCGCAGATAAGAGTGCAGCCGCACCCGCCTGCAATCCCTGCTCTTTCTCCGCCTGCAGCTTGAGCTTCTCCCTCGCCTCCTCCTCCTTCTTGAGGATGGCCGGCACAGTCTTGACGACGCCGTCCCTGACGCTCTTCATCTCCCTCGCGAACGCCAACTCGGACTCGGTGTCGACGTTCTCTGGCGCGGACCCTGGCGGCGGGTCGCGCACGAGCGCGAGCGGCGGGTTGAGCGTGCGGGGCATGGAAGAGGGTGCGTCAAAGTCGTCGAGGAAGGACTTGTTCTCGAGGATGTGGTGCATGAGGGCGAGGAAGGCGCGTGCGCGGGGCTGGGAGGGCATGCTGCGAGGCGGAGGGGGACCGAGGTATGTCAAAGTGAGCGAGCGGACGGGGAAGAGGCAGGGAGGGGACACGCACTTGGACGGGAAGAAGACGTCCCACAGGTCGAATCCATCGGGAAAGTACTTTTCGCTGATCCACTGCGGAGCACAGAAGCGCGGTCAGAGCGGCTCAAATGGGGGGCCACGCGGAGGAGAGGAGACGCACGCCGGCCTCGTTGAAGACGAGGAAGATGGCCTCGATGATGGTCGTCGGCGGGCCGCGCTGGATCTCGCCCGACGCCTGCGCACGCGGCCTCGTCGTGAGTGGGATTTTCGGCGCCGAGCAGACACAAATCAAAGGGAGAGAGGGAGGCACGCACCGCCTTCCTCGCGACGTCCTTGAGCGTCGTCGGCGGGCTGCTGACCTCGTGGTCGAGCATGGCGCCCTTGAGCATGCCTTTGATGCGCGGCGCGTCCGACATCTCCTTCTGCGACGTCTCTTCGGTCTGGAGCGAGGGGACCGGGTGGTAAGTCCGGAGGGCGGTGCGCATGTTGGGGTAGACTGCGGGTGGGCCAGGGAGGCAGTGTGAGCAGGAGACGCTAGGGCACAGGAAAGAGTGGACGGACAGGCGAGGGTGGTATTGATGCGGCCGACGTTGACAAGGAGGCACAGCTTGCAGTAGTTGATGGCGAACTGCGGGTTCGAGATGAGTTTCTGGCGGATGTTCTGGGTCGTCTTTGTGCTCGAGAGGATGGCCTCGAGGTAGAGCTGGTCAAAGTTGAGGTAGATGGGGTCCGAGTTCTGGTCGACCGGGGCCGTGAAGCGGAACGAGCGGTCGGCAAAGATGTCGTCAAGGACCTGCCACTGGATGTCGGCGCGGAGGAGGGGTTCCGAGTCGAGCTTCTTGATGGCCTGCGGGGGTCGTCAGGTGGGTCAGCTGGCCGGTCGACGAGGATGGGGAGGGTCAAGAGGGGGGGAGAGAGCGGACCCAGTTGGTCTCCTTGTACGAGCGTTTTGAGCGCGGGTGCGACAGAGCGTGGAGCTCTTCTGCGGTGCGTTTGGGAGGCATGGCGTGCGTGCGTGTGTTGGGCCTTGACGAGAGTCGAGCGAGAGAGGGGGGGAGAGAGGTGGGGAGATGAGGTCGAGAGAGGGGGTTGGCGATGGCGGGGGTCGCTACGCAGTCGAGGGCGCGTGTGGAGCGAGGTGGTTGTGCGCTGGGTCGAGGCGCTGTCGTAGGAATGGTCGGGGTCGAGGCGAGGCAGTCGGGTGAGGTGCTGCTTGCTCCATGCTCCCGCTCGCTCGCTCGTCGTCTCGCGTCGACTGCTCACCCGCGACTCTCCTCTCCAGCTCACTAGGGCTCTCCACGACCCACCTGAGCTCGTCAGCTGCACTCGGGAGAACTACCCCTCCACCCCTTTCCTCTCTCGCCCCCTTGCCTTTCGACCTCTCCCTCTTTCATCGCACCCCGCCGTCGCAAACCCCCCTCTCTTGCCCTCGCACACGCAAAAAGCCTGCACAGGCACACCTCGGTCCTCCTATTCAGCGATCTAGCAGCCGAGCCAGCAGCTACTCTAGCGGGGCAGCACTCGCGTTCCCCTCGTCAACGAGCATCCGAGGCCAAAGTCGCGCAGCTCCATCCGAGCACTCAACTCGACGCGAGGCGCTCCAGGGCAGCCCTCTCCCTCCAAGCCGGCGCAGTAGCAGCAGTAGCAGCAGCAGTAGCAGTAGCGGTCAGGCGGCGGACCGATTCGAGCGCACCTCTCCGAACCCCAGCTCCCTCCGTCTCCCTTCAGCGGCACAACCCCTTCACCCTGGCCACGACCCTCTCCTTCGTCCCGTGCGACCTTCCCGACCAAACGACGCCTTCCGACCACAGCCGACGACGACGACAGACGACGCGTCATGCCCCCGAAAAAGTCGGCCGCCAAGAAGAAGAAGGCAGCGGGTGCCGCGCGCGGCTTCGCCACCACGTCGGTCCCCAAGCGCAAGGAGCCCGAGGAGGACGCCGCCGCCGCCGCCGCGACGGACGAGCTCGCTGGCGGCGCTGAGGCGGGCGCAGGCGCAGCGGCCGCTGCAGGTGCAGGCGCGGGTGCGGGTGCGGGTGCGAATGGCGAGGCGGGCGGTGCGGCTGCCGGAGGGGAGGGCGCAGGGGCTGCGGGAGAGCTGACGCAGGGTACCAAGGCGGGCGACGCGTGGGATGACCCGGCAGAGGTCGAGCGCAAGGAGTTGCAGGACTTGGCCGACCGCATCAGGGCGGGCTCGGACAAGGAGATCTCGCGCGTGGTCAAGGTGCGCAACGCTCTTCTCTCTTCACTGCTCGCTCGTACGTGCTGATGCTGACTCGAGACCCTGCCAGGTCCTCGACTACGAGCGACGCATCTCCAAGACGATGCCGAGCTACCTCTGGCAGGAGCACGACCTGGTGCGCTCGCTTTCTTGTGGTCGACGGTCACTACTCCTCCCCTTCCCCTGACTCTCGTCACTACCGCAGAAACGCCGCGTGCTCGAGCTCGCCCTCGCCGACGACGAAGAGGACGCCCCGCAACCGCTCTACGAGCCCGAGGACAAAGTCATTGCCAAGGTCGCGACGCTGTACGGCATCCTCGAGCAGCTCGGCTTCGCGCCCCCTCGCATCGAGCAGTGCATCCGTGAGGTCAAGGTCCTGGAGCTTGAGGACTGCCTCGACTGGCTCTTCCTCCACGCCGATGCCGACGAGCTCGCCTGTGAGGGCCCGCTCGCGCCCCCGGAGCTCGTGCCGGAGAGCGCCCCGCCGACTCCTCGTCCGGGCAACTCGCCAAAGGGGAGCTCGACCCGCGTCCCGACGACGACGACCACGCTCAGGTCGTCGCCCGCGTCGCCCGCCTTGGCGGCCGCGGCAGCCTCGTCCGTGGCAACCGCCAGCGACGAGGCGTCCGAGTCGGCCTCGCTGCGCGCGCGCATCCTCGCGTACGGAGACGAGCTCGACCGCGCGCTCGAGTCCGCGACGGCCGCGTCCGACTCCGGAGGCAGCGGTGACGGCGCCGAGCTCCCCGACGCCAACGTCAAGTACGCCAAGCTCAAGGTGCAGCTCTCCGAGGTGCAGCGCGCGCTGCAGGCGCACAAGCGGGTCACCAAGGGCAAAGGCGACCGCAAGGGCGCGCAGGCCCTCACCGAGGAGCAGGAGACGTGGTTCGAGGCACAGAGCGAGCTCCTCAAGGACAAGGTCAAGGCCGTCGAGGGCGACTACACGTTCCGCAAGGTCGACGCCGAGAAGTTGTACCGCGAGGAGCGCACCAAGCTCGACGCGGCGCAGCTCTCGGCCCGCCTGAGCGGCACGACGCTCGAGAGCCCGTTCCCGGGCCTGCCTGCCACGCCTAGAGCCCCGTCGAGTGCCGAGGGCCTCGCTCCGAGCGCAGAGATCGCGACGCCTGCGTCAACCTCGTCTCCGGCTGGCACGCCCGCGACGACCGCCACGACGAACGGCACGTCGGCGTCGGCGTCTTCGCCGCCTTCGCCCGCCAAGGCGTCCGCGGCGGGCGGCGACGACGGCTTGAGCGCGAGCGGCGACGGCGACGGGGGTGACTTCTTCGGCAACATGCTCGACGAGATGCCCGCCGAGGAGACGACCGAGTCTGGC